CCATTCTAAATTCTAATTTCTAAATTCTAATAAACTTATTTATTATAATATATTGAATTATAATATTACATAATAATATACGTTTTATAATATATTTATTTATATATATATATATAAATATAGGTATTTATATATTATATTAATTACATATTTTGATTTTATTTTTATTCATATGTAAATTTATTATATAATTAATTTTTTTTTCATTTCTTTGTTGTCTCTAATTAAAGAATTTTAATTTATTTTGTTGTTTTTTGTTGTTTTTACTAAATTCATTCACTACCAGATAAATTTGAATTTAAAGTATATAATTTTATTTATTAATTAATTATTTTTATATAATTTATTTTTTTTTTAATTTTTTATATGTATATAATATGTATATTATCGGCTAATGTTGTTTTTTTCTTTTGTGTTTTTTAATTGTTTTCCATTTTAATTTAATTTTTTTGTTTCTTTTCATTATTTTTTTTTTTGTTATTTAAATATAACATTAATATTGTTTTTCTTAAAATTTACATATTTTGTTTTTTCAAAATAATATTAATATAAATGTATGTACGTGTATATATATTATTTTATTATTATGTAAATATATTTTTAATAATAATATATTTTATAATATTATACATAATATTAATAAATAAAATGATTATATAATTTTAACATTTTTCCTTGTTTTTTTTTTTCCATTTCTTTTTTTCTTATTTTTTTTTTTTTTTGTATTAACAACAATTTATCAGTTATTTTTTTTTTTTATTTTAATTAATAACTACTTTTATTTTTAATATTTCTAACTTATGTATCTACATTTTATATTAATTATTTAAATTTTTTTTATTAAAATTTATATATATTAATTTTTTTTTTGTTTTATTTTTTTTTTTTATTTTTGGTTATTACATAGTAAAACATTGAAGGTCTGGAATAACGAGCTCTACAATAAACAAATTGGAAAAAAAAATAGTTTTTTTTTTACAATTTAAAATTAAACCACAATTTAAAATAAAATCAACATATTATTATAAATTATATGAAAAAATTTAATTGGGATTAAAAAATTGATTTAACAAAACAATTTTTATATAAAACATTTTCATATTAAATTTTGTTAAATGCTTCTATTATTTTTTTTTTTAAACAGTGTGTATTGTTTGTTATCTTTAATTTTAATAATTATATCGATTTATTATTTTGTTTCTATTTATATTTTAAAATCATAATTTAATTATACAATTAAATTTTAGAATAATTTTTTTTCTAATTTCGTTTCATTTCAATATTTTAAAAATTTGCTGTAAATTAGCGCAAAGTATATTTTTTGGTGTAGTTACAATTATATTTATTTAAAGATAAATATAATTATAATAATTAAACATTTTTTTGTAAAATAAATTTTAAACAATTTAAAGCAATTTTTATAATTATTGTTTACAAAATTATATCAGATTATATCAACTTTTTAAATAAATGATCACAATGAATTTTTGAAAATTATTATTTTGTTAAAAATTATTATTATTCAAATTATATGAAAATTTCATCTATATGAAAAATTTTCAATATAAATCAAATATGCAATATTCTCTCAAATAAATTTTATTAAATTTATAGAAAAATAAAAAAAAAAAATTGGATATGTAAAAACGCAATGGAAAAATAAATTTCGTCTACTAAAACACACATTTAACATCAAAAACTGATTTATTTTGTTAAAAATTAAAATTAAAAAAAAAACATTGTTGAATAAGCCAAGTCGACGTTAAATCTGCATTTTGGTAGCCGTCTAACCACCAACATTAATAAATAGTTTTAATAAAAAATTAAATATAACAAAACAAAATTTACAATGTTATATAGATTATAAAATTTTTTAAAAATAAAAAAGTACCATTTCAAATATTGTTTGTAAAATATTCTTGAAGTTTGAAAGAATTTACAATAAATCATAAAAGATTTAATAGAGGCTAAAAAAAACAATAAAAGGTAATATTAAAGTGTATTTTAGGAGATTTTTTATGGCACATGTACACTTTTAACAATTTATTTGGTACTTTTTTTTAATTGTAACATTTGTTTTTTGTTTGTAACAAATTACAAATCTAAGAATTTATATTATTTGAGAGTACATATACATATATATTAAATTAAAAAAAAAAAAAAAAATAAATTATTTCATATTATTTAAAAATAGTTGATATAATAACAAAATTGTTTAAATTATTTTTCTAGATCTCATTTAAAAATAAAAAATATTAATACAAGAATTTATAAAATTATATAGACAGCTTCAATTTTATTCATTACATTATATTTATATTTTTTCTTCTTTTTATGTTTTTACATAATATTTAATTTCATAGAACAAACAAAATGTTTTTCATTCATTTATTTTCAAATTTACATAATGTTAAGACAATGCAACAAGGTGAATTTCTTTTCTATTTATTCTTTTCAATTTTATTATGTTTTTTTTCAATGATTTGTTCTTAAATATCTTTTTGCATTCCATTTCTTTTTTTTGACTTCTTCCATGATTTCTATATACTATTTTATATAATATAATAATATATGTATATATATAACAAGAATTTTTTTGTTTTAATAAATAGTTTTAAAAATTTTATAATACTAAAAACATTTTCGATTTTTGTGTTTCTATTTTTTTATTTTTTTTCAATTTTGTAATATTTGTAATAATGTGGTTACTATATTTTATGTATTTAAATAAATTTATTTTCAAAATGAATTTTACATTATTTATTTTATATTTTATTTATTAAATACACAAAAACAATTTTTGTACCACATTTTGTGTATGTTTATGTTTTGTAAGTATATTGTAATATTGTTTTTTTTTTTTTTGTGTGTGTTTAAATTTTGTGTTTTTTTCATAAATGCTGTTTATATTACAACCGTGGTGTTATTTTTATTTTTGATAATTTTTTTATCAAAATTTTTCTTTATGTCTTATTGAATTTTGTGTTTTTGCCTAATTTTTTTGGTCTTAAATATTATTATATGTATATCATTTGTTTTCAAAATTTTATTGATTTTTTTTTTTTTTTAATTAATACAAAGTTTCAATTACTTTGCTTTAAATTTTTTTTTGTAATTATTTAATTTTATATTAATATCTTAAGCTTCCATATTAAGCCAAATAATTTAATGATTTTAAACAATCTTTAGGTATCAACACTATCTATTTATATATTATAATTTTCTTTTTAAAAATGATGTAACATTTCTTCGTATTTAAAGATTTTTATATTTTAAATTTCATGTAAAATAATTTTGTTTTTTATTTTTTTTTTTTTCTTATTCGTTTTCAATCGTTTTATTTTTGATTATTATTTGCGAAATTGTAAGAATTTTTTTTTTTAAATTCTTTAATTATATTTTTATTTTTCTTATCTTTTAAATTTAATCATAAAAAAAAATTTAAAATAGATAAAATAAAATTGTTCTTCAAATAAGCTACAAAAAAAGAAAGCTACATAAATAATTTTTCTTGTGCGAAAATTTTTACTATGACTTCTTCTTAATTAATTGGAAAAAAAAGCAAAAAATAAATTGTTGTTTTTTTTTAGGGAAAACATAAAAAATATTTTAAAATTTCAAGTTAAAAAATCATTTTTTGTCTACTTTCACTAGTATTCATTTACGGATAATTACAATACTTAATAATATTTAAATATATTATTATAAAGTAATTATTTTGAATAAAATATTTTAATTAATTTGAGTATTGAACAAGATTTTCGGAACAAAATTAACAAAATTTTATTTTATTATTAAAACAGAATGTATTTCAAATGCAATACATTTTTTTTTTTCAAATTTATTATTAGGTATAATTCTGATTTTTAAGTTTTTAAGTTGTTGCATTACTAATTCCAACTTTCTTTAATTATTTTTTAATACAAATTGTCTTATTTTTAATACAATTATTTTAAATTCATAATAGAATTAATATACATAGTTATTATTTCAAAATTAAAATTATTAAAATTAAAAAAATTTTAAAAAAGGTAAGTAAGAACATTATTATTTTTTGCTTTTTTTTTCTATCTTGTTATAGTAAATTCGTTTTGATTTATTTTAAATAATGAATTTCGTTTCTAAAACAACGTTCGAATTAACATAAATAAAATTTTATAAATTAACCATTGAAATAAAATAAATTTGAAATAAGGCAAAAAACAATTTTTTTGTTTTTGCTAACATTTTTGATTTTCAATATTGTTTCTTTAAAATTCTAATGGTTTTAGTTTTTAGTAAATTTTTTTTTTTATTATAAAATTTTTCGTTCTATTTTAATAACTAATTTTTCTTTTAATACAATTTTTCTTTTAAATATCAAACTGGTCATCAGACACAGTTTTAAATTGCAAATACATATTTTGTTTTTCTAAATTTTTTAAAATTTATTTTAATTTTATATATTTTTGCTCTTTCGTTTTAAATTAATTTTATTAATTTTTTTCATTAATATAATTTTTTTTTTTATTTTTATAAATTTATTTACTTGTGGCGCTACGAAAATTTTCTGGGAATTTGTATTTTTTTTTTTTGGTTTTGTTTAGCATTTGAATTTTGTTTGAAATTTTTTATTTATCTGATTTAAAAATTCAATTGTATATTTAATAATATTATATAAAATTATTTTAATGAAAATGTTATAAAAGAAGATTGGTGTGTATAAATGAAAATGATAATGGTGATGAAATTAATATGATAATAATGAAAATTTTTTATTAAAATGAAATGTATGAAATGTTGGTATGATAATAACAACAGGCTGGGTATTAAAAACATTTAAGGTATTTAAATGGTATTTGTAAATTTTTATGTTAACTTTAAAAAAACAAACTATATAATATAGTATTTTTTTTTTTGATTATTTTATGTATATAATAAAATTTTAAAAATTTATTATTCTATTTTATTTAAAGGAAAAGAAAAAAAGAATAGGATTCATATATATATATGCATATATTTTTATATATATGTATATTTTTGTGTTACTTAATATAAATGCAAGTCTAATTTTGGAGTGATGTTTTCTATTCTAGAGTTAATTTGAAAAGAAAATAATGAATTAACAAACTAAAAATATTTGTTTTCTATTAAAAATTTTAAAACATAATTCATAGAAAGTTTGTTTGCAAAGAATCCAAAAGAACAAAAAAAAAAAAAAGGAATGGAAATTTAATAGAAGGTTTTTTTTTTCCTGGAATGTATTTAAAAAAAAGTCTTATTTTATCAGTTCTAATACTCTAAATCTTTTAAGAATTCTAATTAATGTCTACCACACTAGGAACTTATGAAATGGGTCCCTCTCTGTTTTTGTTTTTTTTTTTTACTTTTGGTTTCAATAAATATGATTTTAGTTTAAATTGTACAGAGTTTAATTTTATTATAAAGTTTTATTAGTTAATTTTGATTAGAAAAGAATGAGTCTTTGCAATTTATTACAACATAAACGATTTTATTAAGACAAAGCCTTTGGTAGTGCAGATTGAGATTGATTGTATAGAAAATTTTTGAATAAAGAAACGTAAAAGTGTCTTTTTGTTTCTTAATTTGGCACATTATATTCTTGAATATTTTATTTTAGAAAATTTTGTTTTTTTTTTAATTAATTTAAAGTTAATTTACGCGCTAACCGAATGAAATAGTATATTATATTCTCCGGAAATAAATGTAAGTATAAAAATTACCTTAAAAATATTTTTTATTATGGTTATGTAAATTTAATATTCGTTAAGTACTTATTTAATTTATTTAATTTAGTATTTTAAATATATAAAATAAAATGGTAAAATTTTGAAAAATTAAAATTTAAAAAAAATAATTTTGGCAACAAACTTTCTATATAATTTGCTTTATTCTTAAATACTTGTGTTATAATAATTTAATATATTTTTGTGTGAATGTGTATTTGTAAATATATATAAATGTATTATGTATCTATATATATACATATTATATTAAATCCTTTTCTACTATTTTTAATATAATTAACTTTTTTTTTTTTGGTTTTTTTTTGTTTTGTTTTCTTTTTTCCTTTTAACAAGTTATTTCATTGAATTTTGGTTTTTTATCCTGTTCTATTGCAATTAATTTTATTTGATTTCTCGACGCCACAAAAATTAAATTTTATGACGTCTCTAAAAATCATACCTTAAATGTTTTTTCCCGGCGATGATGGCGTTGATGTTGTCCACTATTGTCCCGATGATGATGATGTTGATGTCGAGATGATGTTATAATATTATTTGTATTATTATTACCATGACTACCATTACCATTACCATTTAATGAACGTTGTTTTATTGCATGTTTATGTTCATGTTTATGTTGTTGTTTATAATATAAAAGACGATCAGCTTCTTCAGCTGATAAAATTGTTGCATAACGTGTTGCTGTACCACAATCAATTGTTGCCGAACGTTGATGACATTTAGCATTAGCGCTACCGCCTCCTGATAAATTATTATTACCATAATTTGATTTACGTTCAACATTTGATGCTGAATATGAACGTTGTTTAGCACCGCGACTACTTATACTTAAATTTGATGTTGAACCTATCATTGCATCTGATGAACAACTAGCACTTAATCTAGTTTTACGACTTTTTGGTTCAGAAATATTTGAAGAGGATTTTGAAAGCATATTGGTTGTATTTATACGATTACCATTATTTGTGTTATTATTTTTTGTAACTGAAAAACTAGTTGACTTTGTATTATGTGGTATAGATGAAGTTACATTTGTTGCTGTTGAAGTTGATGTAGATGCAGATGTTGTAACAATGAGAGCGGGACAACGTCGGGCAATATTAGCGCCATCACCGCAGCAGGCGCACTCCTACAATTCTGTTACAGAATATAAATCACTATTTGCGTGTGTACCACCACGTTTTAATGAACGATAATACTGATTATCATATGATGATGATGATGATTGTGTTTTATTGCTAGAATGATGATAGTTTGATGATGATGATGGAAGGTTATTATTTTGTTGGTGGGAAATGGGATAGGAATGATGATAGCTTTGACCTGTGGTTTGAGATGAAGAAACAGAATTTGATGAATGTCGTTGTGGCGGAACTGGCTGTTGCTGATGTTGGGAATGTTTCGATTGTTGAGTCTTATATTGCTCAACATAAGATAATCGTTGTTGCGGTTGAGAATGTTGGCTGCTATCCATATTTTGTTGATGGAATTTTGATTTTTCCGAACGTTGAAGACTTTGTCCGCTCCGTTCACTAGTGAAAGATGAAGAATGTGTTGATTGTTGAGAGAATTGTTGTTGAAGACGTTTAGATGGAAGTGTCTGAGTATTTGATCTAAGAGATCGTTGTGCTTCTTCTTTGTGGCGATTTTTCGGTGGTAAAGACGGTGGAACTAATTTTTGTTCAACTCGATCACCTAAAAGTAATATAATTTAAATTAGAAAATTAAAATATAAGATTTATAAGAAACCTTTATATTCTCTTGGAGAGTCTCTAAAGTCACGGCTCTCTCGCATTTCTGTTCTTGGTTCTCTACGCTCTTCTCTTGGTTCACGATGACTTGGTACACTCATAGTACTTTTTGAAGAACGTTGTAATGAACGATATTGATTAAGATTTGCTGCGCATAGCGGCTGTTGAGAAATTTTCGAAATTTGTTGAGTTTGATGAATCGGTTCTACAATATTTCTTGGAGTTTGATGAGGTTGAGGAATTTCCGGTAGCGGCTGGCTTAAAATAGATGCTGGTTTAATTGATTGCGAAGCCTGGGTTTGTTTTGATGGTTGTGATCTGAAATTATTTGTTGTTTCGATGCTAAAAACGTGAGAAGGCTGGTGATGATGCGATTGTTGACGTTGCTGTTGCAATTGCCGCTGTTGCTCTTGTTGTTGTTGTTGCTGTTGACGTTGTTGTTGCAATTGTTGTTCTCGTTGCTGCTGCTCACGCTGCAACTGCTGCTCACGTTGTTGCTGTAGTAATTGCTGTTGCCGTCTCTCTTGTTCTTGTTGTTCTCTTTGCTGTTGTAGTAATTGCTGTTGTCTTCTTTCTTGTTCTTGTTGCTCTCTTTGTTGCTGTAACAATTGCTGCTGTCTACGCTCCTGCTCTTGCTGTTCTCGTTGCTGTTGTTGCCTACGTTGCTCCTCTTGTTGTAATCTACGTTGTTCTTCTTGTTGTTGCAACAATTGCTGTTGTCTTCTTTCTTGCTCCTGTTGTTCGCGTAGCTGTTGTTGTCTACGTTCTAGTTCTTGTTGTTCACGTTGCTGCTGTCTTCTTTCCTGTTCTTGTTGTTGTTGATGGTGAAGATGTATTTCAGTTTCACGTAGCTCAGCAGCTGCAGCTGCCGCTGCTGCAACGGAACTTCCAACACCGGTGGTTCCAGGTATATCAGTGAAAGTATTTAAATTGCTTTTCTTTGGTAAATATGGTGGTAAAACCGGTGGTATAGGTGGTGCAACAACATTTTGTACAGTTGTAATATTTGGGGTATTGAAAGATGTTGTTGATTGTTGTGATGAATAATTTGTTGATACTGTAGCAATACTTGGAATTTTTGCACTTTTCAAATTTGCATTCGGGCTTACTCCGCCTACACCACTAACTTTTGCAACTAAAGAACCGCCATAACGCCCACCATGTCTCAATGTGGCACATTTATTCATATTACTGGTTGTTAAACTTGAACCATTACTTCTAATTGATTTAGGTCCAATACTGATATATTTTGGATCAAAACGATTGAAACCATTACATGTTACATCTCTGGGATCTCTTTCCAATTGTAAAGCTGCGATTGGATCAATTGCTGTTTGATTTTTTGCGATTGCTGCCGAACGTGGCAATGTTGATGATAAATATTGTGGTTTAATTAAATTGCTAGATAAATTTTGCGTAGAGCTGCTATTGCCTGCATTTTGATTGCAGGCAAGCGATTCTCAGTAAAAGTCGTTTGCTTCTAAAGTTTTACATTGTTTACTAAGTGTTGCATATTTTCCATTATTTGGACCAGCTAAATATGATGTTTGTGATGGTAAACGCCCTAAAGTATGATGACCTGATGATGCTCTATATCAAAAAGAAAAATTTTTGCTTTTAGTAAAATTTAATAGTTTTGAAAAAATATTATATAAAACTTTGCTGGAAATTTCATTATTTTCTTCTAAATAATGAGAAATTATAAAAATATTTATATTTTAAAATAAATTTCCAACAAAATTCTGTTGTTCTACGTTAATATTAATGTTTTCATACTGCAATTAATATTGAATATTTTTCAAATTGGTGATCACATAATTTTAGTGAGGTGCTTTAGGATTTTAATTTTAATAATTTAAATAAATGGTACAAGAAATGGTAATTTAGAACAACACAAAAAATTTAATTACAGAAATGATCTAAAATCATAATTCTAGCATAAAAAAATTAAATGAACATTTCTAATTGAATATTTAGCAATAAAATATTTGAAATGTTAAAAATTTTTAAATTACATGATAATATGATTTTGAAAAATAAAATGTTTTGATGTGTTGTTAAATGAATTTGATTTTAAAATGTGTTTAATAAAATAAATTGCTAAAAACAAGCAAAATCCCTATTTATTAGTGGCATTATTTAAAAAATAAATAAATAAATAAATTATATATGCAACTAAAATTGTGAAATCAACCAAAAACATATTTTTATATAAAAAATAAAATAAAACAAAATGTATCAAATGAAATAAAAAGTAAAGTTTAAATTTTTGAAGAAAACAAAATGAGTAGACTGGAAGGCGCATTTTTTTTCAATTCTTTTAAATTTTATTCTACCTTCGCTGCTTTTTCTAATTTTTGAGTTTTCCTTAATCCTTATCTGAAAAACTTAAGGATAATTTATTATGAGCTAAAGTTTTAATTTGCATTGGGATATGGGAAATTCAAATTCCAAAAATATCATTTTTTTGAAGTTACACTTTGAGTTCAAAAGAAGTTGTTACACTTAGTTTAGGACTTCAATTAAGAAAAAGACTGTCAGAAAATCAACAATTTTATTATTGTTGCAATTTATATAAAAGACCTTACGGAAAATTGATTCAAATTTTAAGAGACAAAAATTTCCTTTTTTAAAATTAGAAGTTTTTAAGCGGGTTATTTACAATTATTCGAAAATATTTAAAAATGAATATTATAATAAATTATTTTTCGTGTAGTAAGAATCAATAAGTAATTTGCTTACAAGTTGTCATCACTGAATACACATGAAAAATTAAATTTGAAATTTAATTACTAACATAATTTAGCTCAGAATTATAATAATTTGATATAAATTGAAGATCTTCATTTAATACATTAATTAAACAAAAAAATTAAAAAAAAAAACTAAAAATGAAAAACAAATAAGCATGCCTTGTGCCATGCACCACAACATCATAACCAGGTGGTGGAGATTCACCACTACCACTATTATTCAATGTAGGTAGAGGAATATTTGCCAACCCTGTTCTTGCTGATCCATTTCGTTGTCTTTCTTCACTAGCCGAATGTAATAATGTTCGATTTAATGTACCAGAACCTAATATTGGTGCTGTTGGTGAAGAAACTGTTGGTGCCGGTGATGCTGGGAATAATGGTGCTGTTTCAGATTTATCAATATCACTTTGTCTAAAATATAAAAAAATAAATAAATAATTAAATATAAATATTCTAATAATATTTTTTTTTTTTTCATTTTTTTAATATTATTATTCAAATGTAAATATTATAAATTTATACTCAATCATTATTATTACTTTTTAGTTAAATAAATCCATGCATGTGAAGCAGCATAAACTAATATTGTTAATAAAAATGCTGTTAATATACCAGCTACCATCATTAAACTTAAACCTAATAGAGAATTTCCACAGATTCCGCTTAAAGCATTTAAATAATGTTTATCGATATTACGATGATCTAAACTTGCCGATAATGTTGTTAATTTTTCTTTAATTTCTTGTAATGCTTTAATCATACTTTCACATGATCCTTGTATTTCAATAGTCGGACGTACTTCACGACTCATTCTAAAAAAAAAATTGAAAAAAAAAATTGAATTAATTGAAATTTGAAAAAAAAAAAAATACTTTTTTTTTTGTTTTAATTCTTACTTCGAAACCCGATAAACAGATTCCCTAGATCTTTCAACAAAATCTCTTGATTCATTTAAACGTAAAATAAAACGATTTCTAAGTGTACCACAATTTAAATAAAAAACATCATCCGGATTTTTCTACAAAATTTAATATATTTATTAGAAAATATATATTTAAAAATAATATTTTATATTTAATTACCGTTCCGACTTGACGACACATATGATCAACTGGTTTCATACAAAAATCACCTAATGCAACTGAACTTGCCAAATAAATACCAGCTAAAAACCAACAAATTATAATACCGAATAAACCGCAAACACTAAAAAATATTAAAGCGCATCTTGAACGTCTTGCAACTGCAATTAATAAAACTGCACATAAAAGTAATAAAATTGTTAGAAATGTTAATGTTGTAGGCCAACGTATCGCTTCAAACAATTCGGATTTCTGTAAACAAAAAAAATCAAATTTTTTAAATTGTCTTACAAAAAAAAAATTAAAAAATAAATCTTACATATAAAATATTCTGTAATGATAAATCCGGTCCCATTAATGCATTTGCTTCAGCTTTATGATTTTTCATAAAATATACAACCATATCTAAACTTGTTACTGCTCTAGATGCATTATCACGTATTAGACGACATGTCTCTAATAACATTGTTACAACTGTTTGATTATAATTTGGTTTATCGATCATTTCTTCCAAATTAAATTTTTTAACTTTGGTTTCTAGGTCATTTTTAATAGTCTCAGTCTGAAAGGAGAAAAAAAAAGAAGACATAGTTATTCTTTTTTTTTTTTATAATAAGATTTACAATTATATAAATTAAAAATTAGTAGGTCTACTTATTTAGTAACAAAAAAAAAATTTCATTTTTAAAAATATCACATATTCTCCAAGTGGGTCAAAAAAACAAACAAATGAAGAATGAAGAATAAACCACACTGTATTCAATTTTAAAAAAAAAAAGATTAGTAAAGGAAAATCCTTTAAATAATCTACGGATTACTTAAGGTTATTAACATTTCTTTAGGGAATTTTCTGTACCATTGAAGGTACATTTTTTATTTTATTTTATTTTTGCTTATGTAGAAAAATTTCTTGTTATCTACCCTAAAAAGAAAACTTATTACTTTATAAGAACTCATTACTGTTACAATAACAATAACCTTACCTTAAAATAATAAATAAGAAATTGCGATTTTTTTTAAATACAAGTATAAAATAATTAAGGGAATTCAATTTTTATGTTGTTTGGTTTTAATAGCATAAAAATTATTTTTTTTTTTGAAAGGATAAATGATAATTCCACAAGTTAATTATGGGGAGTAATGAAACATAGCGTGTTTGTCGAGACTGATTTTTGAAGAAAAACAATTATCCATTATAGTATTAGAAATTTTTTAAGAATGAGGAGGTTATGATTCACAATTTCAACAATAGAAGATCCATGCTCATGATTTGCAATTTGAATATTCATAAGTAGATATTTCCATCAGAAAAACGGGTGATAAAGAATGAGGAAAATAAGGGGCAATTAATAAATGTAAGGTTAAATTTGATTCATGATAGAGTTTCGAAATATAAAACTAGTAATGCGAAGTCTTATTTTTTAATTTAGTTATAGTAATCAGTAGTTGAACTTAACTCTCATATAACCTAATCAGTTTACGGCACGCCTCGATGGCGGCTTCCATTATATTGTGGAGTGTTAGAAAATAAAAATGAATACCATGAAAAAATTCTTTATAATATAATTGATTAAGCATAACGTTTAACACTTTTAACGCAATTATTTTGTTGCCAATTTAATATTAGAATTAGATTATTGTAAATCTTTTAACAAGGACATGTAATTCTGCAGTATAAAACATTATTTTAATTGTAAACTCAAAGAAAAACGTAAATTAAAGAAATTTTTTTTCAATTTCATCTTCATTTTGGAATTCCTTTTCTTTATTTTTTTTTCAAAACTAAAAAGAAAAACTAGAATGAGTAGAATTTTAACAATTTAAAATTGAATCGAATGAAATGTGTGAATCATTTATATATTTTTTGTAATTGACTGATATTATATTGTAGTTAGTTATCCAGATAGGAAACTATAAAAAAAAAACTAGGAATAATAAAAGAAACCCCAAAAATAACTAAAAAAAACAAAAACTATAAAATGTGGCATGTTGATGAATAATAATTAGACAGCTCAGCTCTTTATTCATTGTACATTTTTTTTTTTTTAGATTTTAGAATTGGGGCTACAAAAACAACAAGCAAGAGTAGCAAGAGTACAATAAAATTAAAAATATATAAAATGAATAATGGGACAATGGAATTTTCTTATCGCGAAATAGCAAATTTCAACTTTTAGTATATAGGATAAAATTTTATGTGACCAATTCAATGTTAAATGAAAAGAAAAATTTAATAAATTGTGTATATGAACTTCGGCTCCTTTATATAATATTTGCTTTGTTTTAGTTTGCAATTAATTTTAAACTATAATTTTTTATTATAGTATTTTAAAGACTTAAATTTTAAGCAATGTAATAATTGCAAATATGAATAAGTATTTTGATTTTAACATTCTAGAAATAGTTGAATACAATTTGTATAAAAAGGCTACAAAGAAAGTCTTAAGCCATTGATAAAAACTATTCCTAAATTTATAGACTAATTCATTTTTGTAGTCTAAAATTTTTATTCAAAGAGAAATAATCAACTAATTTCCTTGAAATTTAATATTTAAATTCAGGGTATTAAAATAATAAAGTTATAATTTTTTTTTTAGAAATATCAGGGCTCGGAAAACGAACTAGGAAATATAATGGCTCGGAAATCAAATTCGAGTTTTGTTTGCTACCCGAAACTCTCAACTAAAACTCAAATTTAATTTTTCTAGGCATGTTAACTAAAAGCTTGCTTAAGTTCTTATAATTTGAAAGAAGTGTTTAAATAACATTTTCATAATTTTGTGGGGCTCTTTTGCTAAATTCGACAGTATACGTTGCGGCCGGTTATGTGTTGACCATATCAGATTTTTTTTTATAAGGTAAGTGTCCCTATTACTGACATATTTCGCAACAAATTCAACTTTGGCGTGAGATATTTTATATGTGAGACACAGTAAATGATCGTATTTCCGATTTTTTGAATAATTTGGATAATTGGGAATAATGTTTTTTATAAAATTATTTAATCAAAATATTTTTTAATTCATAATTTTTCGATTAAAGACGAAGAGAAAAAATGTTCCTAATATTGACATAACCGCAAATGTTTGTGTCTATTACTGACAGTTTGTGTTCCTAATACTGACAATGTAATTTTATATGCTGTAATCCATATTCTATATATGAATAATGGTTTAAAATGGTTAAAATGATAATATTCAATAAAAATGGAATAATAATTTGGATTTCTACGGATATTTCATTTTATTTAAAAAAAAAATTAAAAATTTATCATATTATAATTCAAACAAAAATAAAAAAAATATTTTTTATTGAATTAAAGGTAAAAATATGTGAAATTCAGCTGATTTGAATTTATTATTACTGTAGAATGTACTTTTGCTAGTAGTCTTAATATGCAACAATGAATAAATAAAAATTTTTAAAAGATATTTATGAAAATCTAATTCGAAATTATATAATTTTTTATAAAGTATTATAAGTAATATTTGCTACAGATGTATTCTTATAAATAATACCTAAAATATGATGTACCGATCACACGAAATTATAAGAAATCATATCAATATATTCTAAAGCTGCTAATAAGCCTATTCTAAAGCTGCTTTTTGCTTTAACAAAGACTATTTATGTATTAAGTACGTAATGAGAGCAACCCATTCTTAATTTTTGGAACAACATTTCGGGTTATTAAAAAGGACTCCTTTTCTTATTTAAAAAGAACCATTTCCGTTGTGATATTTGTTATGACGTTAACGTTTACAGTAATTTCAAAGCATTTTTTTAGAAAGCGAATTGTACTGTTTTATTGACAGTATTGTATACAATATTGACACACAATTTGTTAGACGAATATCACTATTAAAAAGGTAAAAAGGTCGCAGTCAGATATAAGTTTTCACAAATGTAATCGATTTTCATTCGACAGAAATAGTTTAAACAATTTTAAAGTATAAAGAAATTATTTTTATTAATTAAAATGAATATCAAAATTAAAACTTTATACTGACATAATTTTGTACATAATATTGACCCTCTTTAGATCGTATTACCGACACCCGTTTTTAAAGCTAAAATACTCCGAACCTGTAGTAAATTCTTAGTGTCAGAATTCGGACATTAGAAAGAAAATTCAAATTCGATTTTAATTAAATAAATACGAAAATAAAAATTTAAATATTCTAAAAATGACGACATTTGTAAAAATACGGATTTTTGACGTATTACTGACACATATGTCAGTAATAGAAGCAGGGTCGAATTTTAGATGTTCCTAATACTGATAGGAATTATTTTTTAAAATTCTTATTTATTTAACGTTTTTACTCCGAATAACTTATAAAATAAGATAAAGAATAATCAAAATATTTAATTTAATATAAATACATATATTTTTAACCCTCAAATAAGTCAAAAAGCAATAAAAACAAAATCGGAAAAATTAAGCAAAAAGTATAAGAAATTCTCCAATTCAACCCACCATTGCTATGTCTATGGAAACAAAACTGATTTATGTTCAATATTTTGGAGTTATTTCAAAACTAAATAAAAGGAAGTATTGCGATAATTTGAATTAATCTAGAAATAAAAAAATATATATATGTTGTATAGAGAAAATCTCTTAATAATTATAAAAAACCTCATGTATGTCAGTATTACCGCCACTGTCAGTATTAGCTACACTTACCTTATCTCAACTATTTTAACTATAATTCAATTAATTGTAATTTTATTCTCGCATATACATATTATAAAATCCATTCTATAATATCATTCAGAAAAGGGTTGAGAAATAACGCGATAATTTCTTTAAAATTATTAATATATTTTTTTGTCCCTATATCAAAATGTTGATTTATACTAAAAAAAAATATTGTAAACATTTTATAGAAAATAAACAACATTTTTATTTAAAACAAAAAAATTTATGATTATGTTAGCAATATTGTTAGGTCTACTTAGACTCACCATAATTTTTGTTTCTAAAATTATAAACAAAATTATTATATATGTATATGTAGAATATTATAGGAAAATATAAAAAAAAATAAAAGAGCTTACAAAAGATTATTTCCGGTAAATTGGCTTGTGTGAGTCAAGAATTTAGCTTTTCATTTTTATATTATTTTTGTTTGTCTAAGCACATATTTAACAATGCCATATAATATAATTGAAATAATAAGCTATGGGAAAGCATATTTTACATAGTATTTTAAAGTGAAATGAACACAAAATATTAGATTATTTTACTTAGAGAGCAAAAAAAATTTCAAATGTACTTATAAGGTTTTATTTATGTTTTATATGTAAGTATAAGTAATAGAATTCTTTGATTTATGCATTTTATTGTCTTAGTTTAAGTGTTTTCTAATTGCTGGATTTAATTATAAAGAAAATATTATTGGTTTTGTGCTAATTTTATTGTCTTTTTCTGATTTATTTTCAGTTATGAATATTGTTCATCATATTTTATAGTTATTATATCAGACTACATGTGCCAAGCCATGGCTGCGAAATTGAAATTAACATGTAGTTACAAATTGAAGTTAACATGTAGTCCTGCGTGAGAAATGAATCGAGCTAAGTGTATGATTGCTAATTTTATTAGCTGCAACATATGTACCTAAAAAAAATTTCGAACTTTAGATTATTTATTTTAAAGGTTTAGAAGTTTTGTTATACAAAATATAACAACAAATAGACTATCAAATAAAATTTAATTTAATTCTCGTTTTTTAAATTTTTGCTCCGAGCCGGATAGAATGTGATGGAATTGGCCCAAACTTTTTAAAATATTTAATATTATTAATGTATAATTACATATATGTATATAATAAAAAAATTTAAATGCTTACCTGTACTTTTAAATTACCAACTAAAGTTTCAACTTGCTTCCCCGCAGCAAAAGCTTGTAATAATCCATTGTGGAAATCATCATTTCCATAAAGGCCTATATATATATATATATATATAAAAAATTTATTATAAATTTAAATTACATTAAAATATATTAAAATAAATTTACCTAAACCTACTGCTGCACAACAGACTAATGTTATTATAAATAATGTACAATTTTGACATTTTTGTGTTTTCGGTTTACGTGGCTTACGATCGCAACAACGTGTTAATAAATAAAATAATAATCCAAACAATGCTAAAATTAATAATGTTGCTGGTATTGATGCTAATATTCCTAAACTCTGAAATTATACAAAAAAAAAAAAACAAAAAGAAATTGTTAATATAAAATAATTAACATTATTTTAATAAATAAAATATATACATACATATGCAGTCAGATACATATAGATATAAGTATATAAGGATTTTTACGTAAATATATATATATGAATGTAATTATTGGTCAAGTAATTGGATATTTGTGATAAATAACACGCATAATTATTAAATGCATTTTAGAGAATCTTAATTAGAATCATTTAACATATTTGACTTAATATGTGGGTATATACTTAATTATTTGTGCAGGAATACTTCCAAATATACAAACATTTTTAAACTAACTAACTATTTTAATAATTTAATTACTTAAAAACAAAATATTCAGTAACGAATAACCAATCGTGTAGTAAAAATTTCAATCACATCGCTGTCATTCTATTTGCAAAAATTTTTGTTCCGAACTTTACTTTTTTTTCCAACAGGAGGACATTTTGCTGATTTAATTAAGTTAAAATAATTGACAATTTAAACCACAATAATGTCAAAAATTTTATTTTTTCAATAATTTGAATGAGTGAATTTTTAAATGTGTCATATTACTGCTATATACGTAGTTCACAATTTGACATTCATTTTTTTTTGACATATTGTTATGTAATTTAAGTGAAGTTTTTATTAAATTTGTAATTGTTATTGAGTAACTGGATCAAAATTTTAGAATTTTTGTTTAATTTACAAATCATATAGGGTATATATGTACAAAAATAAAGAACAAAATGACAACTTCACTTATATTGTTGGCGAAATTATCAATTGCAATTTAACTAATAATTAAGATTTTAATTTTCATAAAAATTAAATTAATTTTGTGAGGTTATGATATAAAGTTTTAATGTTCCTATTACGTTCTAAAGAAATTCCGAATAAATTCTCAAACTACTTTAATTTGCCAACATAATGACACAGTAAATTTGGCTTCAAAGCGATCTGGTTATAATTATATTATGACAATATTGACAATTTCGATTCTCAGTAAAATAACTTTCGAATAAAATCGATTACAGATTATGTTTACATTTAAGTATCTAAGATATCAGCACATTACACTAAAATCAAAAATTTAATTACCCAACTATTTCAAAAATTTTTTCAAAAAAAAGAAGAATATTGAATTTCCAATTTTAATTAAAATATATTCACAATACAAATATACCTACATAATTATGTATAACTACTTAAATATGTTTATGACCAGCAGAAATTCTTTTTATGGTATTCCCAACATAATAATTTTACTACTACTTGCTCATGTTGTTATTTAAAAACTTAAGGTATTATACTTATTATATAATCCGATATAAAGTTTACTCATCACTACTTAAAAATAACAAATTTTTCTTGCCTCCACACTATAAAGTATAATAATTTGCATAAATTTTAAATTTGAAATGAAATACTAGTGTTTTAAGTAGCTAAAATTACATATTTTTATGCTTATTATACACCTGATTAGACTTCTAATGGTAATTTTTGGTCAACTCAATTCATTTTATTGTTCATTCTTTTTCTACAAAATGAAATTGAAAAGAACAAAGCAAATGTACAATAAGAATACAATAACTACGTAAGAAATGTAAGTAAAGTGTAAATGAAAGATCAAAAAAAAAAAATTTATTTTTTTTGGTCAGAAAGAATGTCTTTTTTTTTTAATGTTTTCCTTTTTAATACGTACAGGGTACAAGCACATTGCAACTCTAGATCAAAATTATTCTACGTCCATTATTGAGCAAAATTGATTTTTGCTCATGTGTATTGACATTGACAACATTGACAACAATTTCAAAAAATAATAGGATTTGTTTTCTAACTATATGACAGAGTATGATTCAAAGAGTAATAAAAATTTACCAATTGCCATTTTACCTTGACGCATAAATGTAAGAGAAATAATTGAAAGAGAGAGAGTTTGAAAAAAAGAGAGAGATTGAATTGAGGGAGAGATATTTTTGAAAATTTCAAATTGCTTTCCTGAATATTTTTCAAAATGTAACTTAGAATATTTCTGATCTACATACTTTATATATGTATTAAGTGAGCAAAGAAAGGCAACTATGAAAATTTTATCGTGTTTATTTTGAAAAAATTCTCTTTTTATGCTTAAATAGAAAAAATAAAAAAAAAAAACAAAATTATAAAAGATTAAAAGTTAACGTCCAATTTCCGTTTATAAATCCGCTTATAACTGATTACTTAAGGATTTAAATAGTCTCATTTTTAATGTTTCTTCCTATATTTTCATTAAGAGTTCAGTTTTGTTTTTGTTTTCATTTAATAAAGTACGAGTATTACTATACTTAACAGTTTTGTTTTCCCTCTATGTTTCACACATATTTTTCATATACCTATTAAGATATATTTGTATATAAGTAAGTATTGTTATGGTGGTACATGAGACCTAGTATACCATAAACTATGCTTGTATATATGTATACATAAATATTTATTAATTTTGTTTATTTAACTTGACCAGCAGATTTACGTGCATATTATACCATGTTTTGACCATTTCAAGAAAAAATAGAAATAATAATTTCATTCTATTTTAATTCATTAAAATAATGGGTACATATTATATAGGATTAAATATTACGGTATTCAAGCATTTATTCGAAAATGATTTAATAAATTTTTCACATTTGATATTTAATATAAATTGGAATTATTACCTTCACACCGTTACAATCAGAACCGAATCGAAATTTCGAAAATCCGAAATACACCGTTACAATCAGAACCGAATCGAAATTTCGAAAATCCGAAATGTGCAAATATCTCGAAATTAAATCAATTTCGCTCCAAATCAATCTCAAAAATTGTTGTACTTATATAGTATGTCGTAAAACGTAGCGCCATCTTCTTGACAGCAAAAAAAAAACCATTGAACTATTTCTATTGAGAGTAACATAAGATTTAAGATTTTTTAAAAGAACCACATGCGATGATACTACTTGCAGTAAACCGAACTATATGATGAAGTTCACATAGAGTGTTCTCTTTATTATTATAACTTCATATTGACACAAGTTACTCGATTACAAGATAAATAAGTTACGTGAATCAGCGATTAATTTTAAATTGCTAACTTTGAAAATGTTGTATTGTTTTTCTGGTTCATGTTTGAATCGATTGGTAATAATTTGGCAGGGAATACTGATCATTAAAGACAATAAAGGAACGCAATTTGACAACTCATTTTAAAGTAAGTACTCACGTATAAGTTCCTACATTTGTCATATTTGTTGCTTTTGAATGAACAAAATGCTCGCTTTGTTTTCTTGATATCTTAGGTCTATAATCGATTTTATTTAATATTAGAAATTATTTTATTAGAAATATTGTATTCAATCCCCATAAGTATTTGCATAAAAATAAAAATTCTTACATATGTATGTGTGTATATTTGTCAAATTAAATTCGAAAAATTTACACTTAAAAGATATTTACTTGGAAAAAGAGAAAAAAGAAATAAATAAAAATTAAACTCCAAAAACAAAAAAAATAAAAAAAATTTTTTTGGAACCGCACGAATTGGTGTAAATTTTATAATAATATATTCTGGCTATGCTATCTCTATTCATTTACATCTGTACATTGTATATATACTTGTATACCGATAGGGCTCGCTGTCAGCTTTAAACTTTAAAATTCCAAATTTTTGGTAATACTTTAGAAAAAATAACAAAAATACGAATCATAATTTTAAAATATAAGCCATCTGGTATGTAGAAAAGAAAATATAAAAAAAAAATTTTTTTTCAGAATTGGTTGGTATGTGGCAAAGGAATAAACCCGTATATATAAGTATATTAATAAATATTCGCTTTTTTTTATTTTTAAAGTTTTATTAATGCGTTGGATTGCAACGGAAATAGATTGATAAATTCCAGACTAAAAGAAGAATAATAAAATTTGAAGAATATATGAAATTAAAAAAAAAATAAAAAGTTTAATATTCTTTAATATTATAAGATAACAGAACCGCAATATGCGTAATAAATAATTTATACAGTGTTTCATTTCATCCAACACCATATAAGAAATATTATGCAGCGCATTACCGTAACTTCTCGCGTTTCACAGATGTGTGGCTACAATTACAATATTTAACATTAGTAGTTCTCAATTTTAATAAGCATGTATGTATAAAGAAAGAAATGTCATATCAGAGATTTTCATCCGAATATTTTAAAAAATTGAATGACAGCTATCAACAAACAGAATTATAATACAAATTGAAATGTACTCTTAAATAATATAAAACACGTATTAGCAACATCAAGTGTTTGAACTGCAAAATATTCAAATAATTGCTTCAATCGATTACAAATAAATGAATTATTCTAAATTAAAATTTTATTAATCAACCCAATCAAATGACATCAAATATTAACCATGAATCTGTCAATTTGTATTTCAATTCCGAAACACTTTGTAATAAACAATGTATACAACTACAGTTACATTTAAATTTATATGCAACATAAACAAAATTTTAATAAATTCAAATTTTTTTTAAAACTATCCTATAATTTTCCAATTTTTAAAGGCGCAAATTATTAAGTACCATAAATGTGCGCAGAAAACCACTATAAATAGAAATAATAATAAACACTATAAAAATTTAAGTATAAGTGTTATATATATATACACATATACCTAGATGGTTACAATTATATTGTAACTAATTTTGAATTTATAATTAAAAATGCCCGCTTAAAATAGAAGTTAATAAAAAATTTTGTTTCTTTTAATTTTCATTTTATTTTTGTTCTTTTTTTGTTAATAAAACACTATGTGGTTCAGTCATCAGTGATTTGCAAGTATACTATTGTTAGAATTATTGAATTTATATTGTTATACTTATTGTTATACATAGTTATCTCATGAAATAAATTTTAAATGTTAAGAAAAGAAAAATTATGTTTACTCTTTACCCACAGTTTAAAATTATAATTTA